GGGCTACTGGAACCCCATTTCAGACATTGAGCTGGGTTAACTTGAACAACTAGAGCAGTATGATGGTCAGCTTTTGTCAGCCTTGACTGAAGGAAGGTAGAAGGGATTCAGACAGGTAGTTGAACTTTTTTGAGAGGGCCCTGCTGAAGGGAGGATGTCCCAACACCTCGGGCTCTAATTTCAGCCAACAGAAAATGTGAAAACTTGTTACTTAAGTCAAATAGATATTGCCACTGAACATAATGAACAATGAAAGAGGATAAATTTGAGCTTGTTATTGCCACTGCAAGTTCAAACAGGCTCATAGGCCTCTCAGCAGAAAGTTGTTTTCAAGAAGAGAATTTCCTGACCATTGGGTCTCTTGGTTGTTGGATGCTTCATTTGACTTTCAGCCCAGGAGTTACTCAGAAATTTCACAGATGTGTATCTTTCAGGAAATGGATGTTCCTGTGACATTTTGTGAATTGTTGGCATGAAGTAAGTTCAAAATTTCTAAACAGCTGTGCTGTTTGTGTGTGTATAGGCTATTGAAGTTTTTTCTTAGTCTTTTTGTCCATTTCTTCTTTGATACTTAGATTTTCACTGTGCTAACTACTGACTCCTCTGAGAACCTTTTAATCACCATTTTAGCTTTACTTCATAAGAGATAAAAGAGCAAAGTTTGAATCCTGTCTTTAGCTTGCACCTGTAGTAGGGTGTAACTGGAGTAGCTTAATATGTTGACAGTTGTTCGGGTGCATGAATGTTTTTTTGAGAGGCTGAATAGCTCTCTCTGACCCAGTGATTGTATGAAATAATCAGATTATTAGGAATTATTGACTCTAGTTTCTGATATGTTCAAGGCTGTGGATTTCTGGGTTTTTATCATTCGCTGAGGACTGTGTCTATTTTGAAGATAACAAACTAAGCTTTGTTGCAAATTCTGTATATAGACCATGAATAATTTTTCAGAAGTTTCTGTGTTGTCTTTTTCATATAAGGTTCCTACTTGTTGTGAGGATGTTTAACCCTATCTTTGATTTATCTTATATTAGAATGCCAACTGTTTAAAAATACTGAAGAGCCACTCAAAGATTAACAGGCCAGGAAATACCATATTCAGCTATTGGCTTGATGTGGTTCAACCCCAGCTGAGTCCTGCAGAGATGCTTACTGACTCTCCCCAGCAGAATGGGGGAGAAAATGGGAATAATAAAAGTGAGAAAACATGTGAGTCTAGGTAAGGACAATTTAATAGGTAAAGCAAAAGCTGCATGCACAAGCAGTATGTAAAGAATTCATTCACTCCTTATTGGCAGGCAGATGTTCAGCCATCTCCAGGAAAGCAGGGCTTTTGCCTTAACTCCAAACATCTTTTCCATCCTCCTTCTTCCCCACAGCTTATATCCTGTGGAGCAGCTTATATACTGTATTACATGGTATGGGGAATCACCCTGGTCAGGTGGGGTCAGCTCTCCTGGCTGTGGCCCCTACTAGGTTCTTGTGCACCGGCAGCCTACTCACTAGCAAGGCACTGAGAAACATAGAAGGCCTTCACACGGTGTAACCACTGTTCAGCAATGACTAAAACATCCCAGTGTTGTCAGTGCTTTTTTCTTATCACAAATCCAAATCATGGAACTGTACAAGCCGTTATGAAAAGAATTAACATGATGCCAGCCGAAACCAGAAACCAGTACACATCTGAAAGGGTATTTTAAAGGAAAGATATTTTACCTGTAAATCATGCATGAAACTAAACTTTGATATCTACTATCCTTGAAAACAGAACTTAAGATTTATAACATGCAAATTTATTGTATCTTTATAAAACAGTAACACTCACTGGAAGTTTTCCTGGGAGAGTCACTTCTAGATTTTGTGTCTCATATACAAATTATACCACCTACATGAATAAGCCTGTTGCAAGTATTCTTTAGTTGTAGTTTGTGGAAAGCGACATGTATGAAGTTTGGAGAAAGCTGTCTGTTGCTGGTACACTAACTGCAGCTGTGAAGCCTGGTACCCAGTAAGGAATTCTTGGATTTCTTTAACAGTGCCAGTGGACAGGATCTTTTCCAACTCAGTAACAGCAAGAGATGCACAATCCTACCAGGGCTTGTGACATGTATTTATAGCTATTCTTAGGAAGAATCTGTTCTTTTCGGCAGTGTGGGAATAGCTTTGTATTGGCCTCTGGGTAGCTTGTTGCCCTAGGCACATAAATACATATTTTGGTCAAGTTGGAGTGTTCAAGGTGAATTTTATCTCTGGTAGTGCTTCTTGGTTTTGTGGTTTTTGTTTATGTGTTTGATTTTCATTTGTTTTTGTAGTTAGAAGCCTAGTAACTATCAAAAGTAACTATCAGTAATCAAAATGGCCACCTCAGATAAGACTGAGAAGAGGTAATATCTGGAAGATGTGAGTATTCTCCAAGGGCTTTTTTTCCACCGTTCATTAATCGAGAGCACAATTAAGGGATAAAGTGGAAAGCCCTCTGATGCATGGAAAAAGTGTTTAGGAAGATTTTTGTTCCCTCTGCCTTGCTATATTACAGGTATTTTTCTAGGAGGTGAATCGACAAGTATGAACTACGTACCATTTTGCATGCAAGGGTAGTCCCTACCATGTCCTAAACCTCAGATCTATCAAAATGTAAGTGGCTTGCTGTTCAAAGTTGAATAGCAGCAAAACTGTTTTGAATTGAGCATTTTTAATGTTTTGCTGAAGAATTGCTTTAGCTGATAAACGTTAAACTGCTTGAACCTTGCAGGGAGATCAAGCATTTCCGTGCTCTGCTGTTCTAGAGGAAGTACAAGATCTCAAACTTGCAGATCTATGCAGAACTGCCTGGAGACAGACCATTTCTTTAGGAATATGCTACTTCTGAGTTCTGAAATCACTTAACAATTGTTGGCTCTTATTTGTGACACATACACATCTCTACTATCATTTATAGAATAAAAAAGTGTGCGAATTGATGAAATTTTCTTGAATTTCCTAGTTAGCTTCATGTAAGTTAGTTGCAAGTTTTGTGATACAACTTAAGGATCGTGTTTTACAGAGTGAAGAAATGCACATTTATTACTGTAGTGCACTCTGTTTGCTGTAGGATCATTTTGGTGTTGATTTAGTACGAGATAAGAAGTGTACATGTGACTAGTGGATTGGCTCCTTGTAAGGTTGTAAACTCTACTACCTGCATGTCATACTTGAGGGCTTCTGCTTTGACTTTCTTTGCAGGCTGTAGGGCAAAATCCAACAAGCAGTTTGAGAGGCCACTCCTTTTGTGGCTTATCACTTTGGTTTATTTGTTGATTTCTCCAAGTCATGCAGGCCTTTCAGAGTGGTGGCCTTTGGCAAAGGGAGGGGGATATAATCCCTTCTGTAATTTGAATGGAGCAATTCCTCATTGCAACCATAAAATGTTTATAAATTTTCTGGTATTCCAGTATTTGCTCTCATTTTCCTTCTGCCTTCAGTAAGGGCAATTTTGAGCTAATACCTTTCCAGGTTGAGAGAATCTTAATTACATATGTCCTCTGAAAAACTGTTTTGTACTGTGTCTAAATTTCTCTAGCAGAATTTTTACTGGTTCTTGCTCACTTCTGTACCAGAATTTCACCTCACTGAGGTCTGGATGGAAGGGGGCTGGTTACCTCAGTGGTTTGAGTGCGGTGCTGACAACAAGGACCAACACCGAGGTCAGAGGTTCAATTCCCGCTCGGTCCCCATGTGTTGCCTGGTCTAGTCGAGAGGTGGCGTCCCTGCCCATGACAGGGAGGTTGGACTCGATGATCTCTAAGGTCCCTTCCAGCCTAGGCCATTCTGTGATTCTATGATGTGGGGGCCAGGATCTTGCTCTGTGCTGCTCAAAGTAAAGCAGCAGTGTTAATGCATGTCAGGACATACACTGTTCTTAGCGAGCCAGCTGTGAGAAAAGCCTCTCCATTGGGACTGTTGCCTCTGCTACATTTATGAATGAGAAAATACAACCTGGATGGACTTTTGCAGTGGCTTTTCAGGATTTTTCAGGATTTTTAAAATCTTTTGTAGCCTGAAATTCTTTTGAATTTTGCTTTGGAACTTAAATTATGACAACTCTATGCAAAAACTAGGAAGCAAGTAGTGACAGTTTACAGATGCTCCCTTTAAAGTGCATGTGTTCATGAATAAATGTGCTGTTGTTGAAAACTCCTTAGTTAGCTGTCTTGGATGAAGTTGTGAGTCTTGCAGATTTTCTAGTATTATGGCAGTAAACATAGTTGATGCTTATTTAACAAGGATTTTCTAACTGAAGCACTGATCTTCAGTTAGATGTGTATTATATGAGTACACGTTATATTTTGTAGCCCACCTTCAGTAATGCTTTAGTTTTCCTGAGTGTCTTCAAGTATTTCTCTTTTTCATAAGGCATGATCTAGTATTCATTGAATTAAAAGAATTCTATCTATGGCAAGCCTAGCTGCCGTGTCCAGTACAGTGTGACCCTCTATGGCAATAATCCCCAAATTCAATGCCTTGCAAAGCTATCAAAATTTATTGTGGCCACAAGCAGTGTTGAATTGTTTGTATGGCTTTAATGCTTTCTTTTAATCTCTGAAAAACTGGTGTAGAGCACTTGGAGATTTCTTTGTCAATTCTTTTTGTATGTACAAATACATATTTAAATCCAAGCCTTTCAAAAAGTTACTTAATCATCAAATTACATTAAGCAATACTCATAAACTTATTCTAGATACTTCTATAGCAGCTTTTGTTTCCTGTTACATAAACCTGAGGAAATGGGTGACTTCTTGTCACTGACAAAGAAATGAAAAGAGCTGTTGACTAGCTCATAGCCTTTGTTCATTATTACCATGCTTGGAGTAGGAAGTGGAAATAGCTGACAGAGTTTCCTTTCTGTACATCTTGCCTTGGTTCTTTGCAATGAAAGAATGCTTATAGCAGTAATTCTTATGTACTGACACATGGCAACTGGTTCTGTACTAATTACTTCACTTTTTCTTTTTACGCAGTCAAGTCCTTCATCTCCAGAGCCAGCAAGTCTTCCAGCAGAAGACCTTAGCACAAACTCCAATGGTCCAAAGCCAGCAGAAATGATGCTAGATGATGACAGAGAAGACCTCTTTGCGGGTAGTTACTCTTTTCTTCTCATGTGTCTGCTTGAACACTTTTCCTGTTAGATTCAAAGAAACGTACTTTTCTGGGAAGAAGGGTTAGAACCTTTTAATCAGTTCGACAATGATCTACAGGTTTTTCTTGTGGGACTTTGTAATGCTACATTAAGTTTGTTTAATGAATACAAGTTTCTCAGTGGTATGTACTATCAGTGCATAGTGTGGCAGTGTTACTTGGTTAGTAATGTGGTTTGCTGACAGTAATAATAGTATTTGTCATTATATAATTAACAAAAATATTCAAGCCTGTGTGTGGAAATATGATGTAAACTGTGTCCGCTTAATAACCATGCAGAATCTCTCCCAGTCTTTTTTACAGTTATAAAGAGAGATAATTGCTGACTGGAATATATTTTCTGGTTTTCTTAAGATTTGTTTTGTTTTAACAAGAAGGTAACAGACTGGCATATAGGAGACCAGTTCTGTCATTTCAGTAGTGCATGATTCTGACTCTCTTACTTGACGGTACTGCATGTTTTGGAGCAAGATATGCAAAAGTTCTCCTAAGTAGTCAGTTAATAGATAACACATTTTTAGTGCTTCATTAGTTAGCTATTACTTTGGTGTTGGTTTTCAGTTATCCTAACATGGGAAATGGTTGTTGTCAGTTACACCTGTAAGAGCCTTAACTATTCAAGAAAGCAGATGTAGTATTTGGAGTATATTATGTACATCAAAATGTGGTTCTGAATGTTGCTTCTTAATACTAATGCTTTTCCTGTTACTACGTATAGAGTGAGTCAGTTGCCAGCCTGATTTGAATACAGTCCTCATCTCATGTTCATTGATTCTCTGACATAATCATTTGAAAAGAAACTATATGCTCTAGTTCAGGGCTATTTTGTATCAGTACATGCCCATTTCCTTTGTTCTGAACTTAGTAATTATATTTGCATGCACTTGAACTTGTATTTGCTGATGATGTGATTAGAATGTATTGACTAGTTTACTAACTCTCTGAAAGTGTTTTAAGGGAAAAAGTGAATGAAGAGTAGAGGAGTAATCTTTCTTCTTTTGCATTTATGTTACCTGATCTTATGACAGGGAGACTATGGGTGCTTTAGCAATAAAGGTTTCTAGTACTGATAATTTGGTTATTTAGCTTCAGTATATAAAGCCTGCTTTTTATAATCATAGAACCACCCCGAATGGATATTTTAGGAAAGCCAATTCTCCTTTAGATTTTAAGAAAAAAGGTGGCCGGAGTAAATACTATGGGGAACCAGACAGAAGGAACAAGTGTTAGTAGCCAGATTGTTTCAGCTGAAATGAATGCTATGAGGAAAACACAGAGAACTGATTTAAAGAGTTTGACTTTTGCAATGGAAGACATTCTCTGAAATGCATGGAGCGCTGAGCTGAAAGCATCTCTAACATAATGCGTATCTAACACAACTAAGACTGGTCTTTAAAAGGTCAATTTATCTACAGACCGAACCTAGTACAAAGTCTCAAAACCTAAGACGGAATATAGCATCTTTTGCAGTATTGTGTTCTAAGCAGAAAGTTTGTGTAATACAGTTAGTGATGACTTTGTATCATTCTCAGCATAGGCTTTCTCAAAAACAATCTGTAGTTTATATTCCAGTGCTGTGCATGCAGAAGTGTAATTTTTTTTTTCTTTCTTAGGACTCTTTTGCTAGACAGTGATGTTAATCCATCTGACTAACTTTCTGACCTGATTTGCAGTGAAAAGAAACAAAGTGAGAGGGCAACATGAGATACCTGTTTTCTTGCTTTCTGCATGATTGCGTAGGCCTGGCTTTCTGTGAAAGCAGGGCTTAATTTGGGAGTGAATGTGACTGTTTTTTTTTTTCTTCAACATGGTGACATGCAAGAGAAACCTATGTTGGCACAGATTATAGAAATACTTAACTGGAGAAATGAGAATAAAGAGAATAAAGCTTTCTAATTCATGTTCTTCTTTCACATTGAATTGTTACACACTGTAAAATCAAGGTAAAGGAAATCCTGTGGGTGGCTCTTGAGAGGAGGGACTCTTGACACCTTGGAAGTGTAGACAATCCTAGTTTTGTGAAAAAGGCAATGGTATACCTCTCTAGCTGTTGTAGGCTTGATAAACCTTTTTTCATTATTCCATCTAGTAATGCAACCTAATAGAAAAGGAAGTGTGGGAGAACAAATTATATGTTTTTTTAGACTTTTTTTGACCTCTTTGCTATTGTGTCTGTGGCAGCTTACAGGATAGTATGTGTAATAAAATGTTTTAGATATTAGTTACCTTTTTTCTGGTGACTTAGAAGTGAATTATTAAAACAGAGTTTGAAAGGTGGAAAAAAATAAGTTTTCCAGCTGTCACTTGAGACCAGTAAACTTTAGTGCTGCATTTGTTACTATTGTGGCTCTTGGTTCTATCTTACTGAACCCACTTAAGGACTTTCACCCTTAGGATAAAGGTCAGCATGTTGACTGTTTGGCCGAAAAAAATTTACTTTAACTTGCAGAGCTCTTAGATGATAGACCATAATGTTCAGGGCTCCCAATGAAGTAGTATTAAAGGGTATCTTGAGGGACTTTTGGAGCCTTAAAACCTGTCTGTCCATAAGGTTTTACTACAGAAAAATAGATGTTAAAATAGCCTGCAGAAATGTGGTATGAACTGCCTGCACAGGACATAGCTGTCGTGCCTTCTGCCTCTAGTGCTCGTAGATGATGAGCAGGTCTGGGAAGTTACATGAGTACGCTGTCACCATTTTCAGAAAAATAGAAAATTATAATTTTTCCTCTCATCTAGTCTGGTAAAAGATTACTTTTTATGGTTTTATGGTGTTGTTTTTTCAGCTCTGAAAGGTGTTTAGATATGGATCATCTACTGTGTCTTGGGCAAAAGTCAATGTTTTGTGATGATGAGAGGATGATATTTATTTTTCTTGGGTTTTTGGCTTAGTTTTATTCAGGTGATTATAGGTTTGTCATAGGCATTTTTCCTGAGGGTTGATACAGAAAAGGAGATGCTAGTTCTGTGGACCAGGCAAGATGTTGTTTTAAGCCCAACTGAACAGCAAAAAGTTTCTAGCTGATTGTGTCTAATAGGCTTTTGTCATGTGGTGCATCTGATCAGGAGAGTTTGATTGCAGATGCCTTCCTGCTTTTCAGAAACTGGTTGTTCAGTTCTAGGTCTCTTCTGCAAGAAACAAATGCACAGAAACGTGTGAACCTACAGTTTTGAAGTCAGAAAAGTGCTTTATTAGTAGCTGGCTCTTCTGTTAAAACTCTCTACATTCCCACTAAGATTATCCTTAGTACCCCTGGTATAGTAGTAAAGGTCTAGGGCTGTAGCTTAGGTGTAGTAGTCCTGAAAGTCAGTTCTAATAGAATATCTGTCTCTGAAATAATGCTGCACCTGAAGAAGCCTTTTTAATAACTTGTCCTCTGTTCTGGACAACCATTTCTACTTCGGTTTACTTCCACATTTAGGTGATTACCTGAGTAAACTTGGGAAGATAATAAGCCAATGTAAACACTCAAGCAATGTCAGAATGTTAGAGGTCTGACATTTAGAAGTGTGACCAGTGAAAAATGAGCTGCTAGTGAGGAGTTGCAAACTTGCATTTTCCAAGATGATGTTTGACAAATACTGGTGTTGAAAAGTAAAGAAATAAGAGCTGTCTGCTGAGATTGAGCCCCATGCTTGAGTGCTGATAGAAACTTGGTGTAGTTGGCTGCAGAATGTCAATTAAGCATAAATAGTTGTCTTCTGCAGCAGGCTGAGATGTTTTCATGTTCTTTGGAGCTAAGCATTTTAACAGTGATCCATAACAAAGACTGGTTATGGATTGTCAAGTAGATATTTATGTGTAGAAATCTTAACAGCATTTGATTGGTAGGAGTGCTTAATCTGTGCTGATAACTGCCATAGCTGAGTGAGTGTTGTATCTCAATGTTTTCCTCCTAAAAGTTGGGCTGGGCAGTTGCCTCTCTTTATGCAAGAAGAGCTGATGCTTTTTAGAACTTCCCAGGAAATCAAGACATCTAGATTTCATTTTTCATGCGAATACTAGTACAGAATATTTAAAAAAAAAACCCACTCTGCAAAACCATAACCTAATACTTAAGTTTTCAGAGGAAAATCTAAAATGAAAATGTCAAGGAAATGTTTCTGAAAGTGCCATAGTTGCTACTCTGAAGCCTACCAAATTAATCTTTCCATGAAAAATCCCCACATAGAACCAGCAGAATTGTCAGGGAAACTTTTTAATCTAGACCATGTGATCTAATTCCTTGAAGTGAGAGAATGCATGTAAGAAGCATAAATGGCAGAGTTCATCAACACAAATCTCTTTCTTGAAAAACAGTCCATCTGCTTAAGTACTACTCAAATACTGCAGTTCTGGGGGGGAAAAAGTAGCTGAAAAGCGTAAGAGCATGCTGTTGTTATATAAAGCTAATACTTCTTTCTGCCTTCAGAATCTTTTAATACTTTTGTTTCAAACAGTGAGTGTAATATTCCTGTCTCTGTCCTGCTTGATCCCATCGCCCTGTTCCACTCTTTTGTGTTTCGCTCTTCTAGATTTACATAATATCTGGGATGCATGCAAACTTAGGGGTTAGAGGTAACAGGAGGGAGGATGGTGTAACTTCTTCCATTTTCCTAAAAAAACTGACCTGCTATCAAACAAACTGATACTATTTTCTCTAAGTTCCTCCAGGAAAACAAAAAAGGTAGGTAGCACTTTAAAAAATTTGCTCATGCCCAACCAACCTGGGATCGCACAGTTTTAAAAATGCTGGTGTGGATGAAATCTAATGCTGCTGGTCTTGCCGAAAGGAAGCGTTTATGCCTTTCCAACTGCTTGTTCCTGCCGCTTTCTGTTTTACGGAAATAATGGACCAGCTTAACGGTAGTTTCAGCAGTTTGCTGAGCGGTAGCAGGAGGCCAGTCCTGGTTGGAGTTCATGTGGTACACAGCCTAGATCAGTTCATGAAACTAATGGATGTGTGGATACAGTTAAGAAAAACTAGGAAAGAGGGTGCTTCTGTTTCATCTGATAGCAGTTCAGGTTTGTTACATTGATTTCACACTTTTTTTCATTAAGTCATACTTTCACAGTTGCAGGAATGTTTTCTCAGCTGATAAATCTGTGTGCTTTGAATTATTTCATGACTCGTTTTATAAGCTTCTCTAAATTTTGAAGGTACAGAGAGGAAATCAGAGGTGATTAATGGTTTGTTTTGCAAACATGTGCTGGAATACAGCTGGTGATTGAAAAAGGAGGAATTGAAGTGCAATGGCTTTATTTCAGAATTTTTATATGTGTATGATAGTATATATAACATATTATGTTACATCCACATATATTTTTTTTCCTAAGAAATGTTTCTGTGAAACAGTCACTTGTATACATATATATGTTGGATGCTGTTAGTCACCAGAGTAGAGAACTACCTCTTTTTAACATTTAAATGTTGTTGTACCAGTTTAAAAGCTTTTTTTTTTTTTTTTTTGCAACTGCCTCAGCATTACTTCTCCCCTGATGTGAGGTTTTGAATTAAAGTTCTCTATGGTTTAAGGCACAATATCATTCCTGTGGCATTTGAAGGCGGGAAGCATCAGCAGGATTCTTCAGAAGGATTTAACATTAAGAATAAAGCATCTTTCCAAAGAAAGGTTTTAGATAATCTTTGTTCATATTAAAAATGAAGAATATAAAAAGGTGCTGCGGAAATCTGTACTTTGAGTTAGGAAGAGCATTGCCATCAAGTTGAGGGAAGTGATCATGCCCCTCTGCTCAGCCCTGCTGAGGCCACACCTGGAGTGCTGAGTCCATGTTTCATCTACCTGATACAGGAGAGGCATGGACAGACAAGAGAGGCCAGTGCTTCGCCATGAAGATGATGAAGGGCATGAAGTGTACATTGTACAAGTAGAGACTGAGAGAGCTGGGGCTATTCAGCCTGGAGAAGAGCAGACTTGGAGGAGGAATCCTACAATGTACATAAGTACCCGATCGGAAAGAATAGAGAAGAGGGAGCCACGCTTTTTAGTGGTGCGCAGTGACAATGCCCAAGACGCAATGGCCCGATTTGAAATATGGGTAATATATAAGAAAAAAACCCAAAAGGTTGGTTATTAATAGTGAGGATGGTCAAACACTGACAAAGGTTGTTCAAGGTGGAGGTAGATGCTCCATTTCTGGAGATGCTGAGAAGCCATCTAGACGTAGCTCAGAGCAGCCTGCCCCTAGCTTTCTTGAGCAGAGGGCTTAGACTAGATGACCTGCAGAGTTCCTTTCCAAGTTCAGCAGTTCTGTCATATACTCCAGAACGAAATGATGACAGCAAACTTGCTCATCCTCAAGCCAAAATGAGCGTTTGATTCAAACCAGGTTAGGGCTTGGTGACCTTGATGTTTGTTTTTCAGTTTATTTTGAGTTTCAATATTAAATAAAATTCAGACATGTAGTCATTTTAATCCCTGAAACAGAGAAGTGTGATTTTGTTTATTTATGAAAAGCATCAAGGATTGGCAAAAAAAGTGTTACAGAATGAAGGAAAATAGAATTGACTAATAGAAGATCACTAAGTGGCAGCAGGGATAAAGCTGAGTGATTTTTATATATTGATTATGAAATACCATAATAGTACTTCTTGCACTAATAAATTATATGGTCGATTGGGTGCTATTTCCAGTTCTCTTTTTATCTTGGAGTAGATGACAGGCTGCTCTGGAGAAGCAAACAATCCTACGCAGGGCAAAAATCAGACTTTTTTAATGCAGAATATAATTATTTCATTAATTTTAAAGTAGATCTGATCTTTAAAACTCCTCTTTTTTTAACCATTGAGTAAGGACTAGTTTTATTAATTAGTATACCTTTTTGGAAGCTTTGTATGACGTGTGGTGGATCTGTTTTAGTGCCTTTTTACCTGTTTGGTAAAGTGTTTGCGACAGGGAAGTCTAGTTCGTAACAAGACTTGGGTTAGTTGGGTAGTCAATTTTGGTATCAAATGACTGTTCTGTGGTCAGTGTTATCTTTTGAGGAACTAGAATTCTTGAAAGTGCACATATAGCAAAACCCACAGCATTAGTTATTTAAACTGGAATGGGAACTTGTGTATACTCAGGAAGTGTGTAGTTTACCTGTGGCCAAAACCAGTTAGTGAAGGAAAGCATGTGTGATACGTAAGGCAGAGATTTACATCCTCTGTAAAGAACTCTCTACAGTCTGAAGAAAGTATTCAGTCTCTAGTGAACTGGTTTCAGCCCTAAAGAGACTGAAGACAGGTAGAAACTAAAGATCTTAGGAGTCTGAATGTCTCACCTGCTGATTTTGCAGGTTGTGGGCTTTTGACAGGGACAGGGGTGTATTATGGTTGTGTAACTTCATTTAACATATGGCTTGGTCTGCTCAGTTATCAGCCTATATGGCTAAATTGGCTCTTGTCCAGAATGCAAAACCATAAATTGGTACAGGTGCTGAAAAAGAGCTGCTGGCGTGGTAAGAAAAATTCATTAGTTTTAACAATATCACATGCAGAAGTAAGTGACTTATCATTTGTGGCTACCCTAAAAGACTCTTTACCTAACAGGGTATTTTTTAAAAAAAAAAAAAATCCAAAATTAATTCTACTTTAACCCATTATGCACTATAAGCTCAAATGTCACATCTAGTTTTAGCTATGCGTTGAAAGAAATTTTCTGGCACGAACGGATATTACTCAGAGATGATCTTACCAAACTTGTGTATCATCATTTTTTAGCATGTGTGTTTATATTTGTGATGCATATCCATCTTTATTGCACAAAAACTTCTTTGCTAATTCAAAATGTTTATCTAGAAGCAACGGAAGAAGTTTCATTGGACAGTCCAGAGAGGGATCCAATACTTTCACCAGAACCTACTCCTGCAATCACTCCTGTAACACCTACTACATTAGTAGCTCCCAGAGTGGAATCAAAAAGCGTAACAGCCCCTGTGATTTTTGATAGATCCAGAGAAGAGGTACGCAGTAAACTTTTTAAAAAAACAGACTAGATATTTCCATAATTTAAGTTTTTTCTTCTTTTAAAATGACAGTTCCTAAACATTGAATCACAGGATCATCCTATGCTAAGGGAAAGTATGTAAAAAAAACCCCGAAACTATTCTATTTTGCATATAGCATTTAGTGTGAATTTGACTTAGGAAAATACTGTAAGAATTCATTACTTGGGTGTATTGGAGATCTGTAGTATGAGGAGTCAGAAACCCCATTCCTTCAGAATAGATGTTGTAAACCCCTTACTAGCATGTTACAGGTTCCAGCTTGGATTTCTGAACCTGTTGTTGATAGCGAAGTGGAGGAAGTCGTTTTTAGCTTTATCTTGCATGCTAACAAACAACTGGGGCTAATGGTAATTTTAACATTTCTATTTATGTTTGGCATTCCATTCAAAGCCTGAGTATTGTCGAATGCCATTCATTCTGGAATGTTCTTTCACTAGACAGCACCTCTGCTAAATGAGTTTGTGAACAAGACTTTACTGTGACTTGGTGATGGCTGATTGCCAAGATACTGCAAGATGGCATTTTACTCTGATTTTCAGCCCTTGTAGGGATGATGGTCCCTTCTGTCATGGTGTTTCTTACAATCTCTATTTTTGGCACACTTATGTATATTACGTGAAAGATTATGAATTTCTGCATGATTAAAGCTCAGGCAAGTATCAGAAAATTTTGTTACTTTTCCCTTCCCAAGCTCTTCAGCTACAGATACATTAGTAAAAAGGAATATCTGTCCTTTGATTAGAAATTTATAGTAACATTGCAGATGAGAGTGGTTTTTGAACCAAAGTATCTGCTGGCATTGTAGGAGATACAGTGAACATACCCCTAAGATAAATGCTAACTGAAAATGTTGAGACCAGCAGGTCGTCGGAAAAGGCTGCCGTACTAAAAGCTTCTGCAGGAAGGGTTAAAGCTGAAATCATAGAATCATTTAGGCTAGAGAACACCTCTATGATCAAGACTAATTGTAAACCTAACACTGCCAACTCCACCACTTGAACTTTGTTGCAGTGACAATTAATGTTAGAAGTTACATTCACTTAACACTGGTGGGTCTGGAAGGGTTTTTTAATTATATGTACATAGTGACTTTTCCTCCTCATCTCTCTGCACCTTCATTCTTGTGACCATGCATAATACGAATTCACATGACCTTGGTAAATATGGTGTATCTTTTCCCTAGATTGAAGAGGAAGCAAATGGAGATTTGTTTGATATAGAAATCAATGTATCAGACCCAGAGAAAGTTGGTAAGTTCCTTGAGCCTAGTAAGTTGGGTCTTAGACTGGCTTATCCCTTGAAGATTATTCTGAGATTTCTGATTCAGTTATTTATACATGATTTCTTACTCAATTATCTTTTGGCAGTTTTTAGTTTCTAAAAGGAAAGGTATTTAATGTATATTTTGGAATAAAAAGTGTGTGGAGGGATTTAAAATAACTTGCTCTGAGATAAGCATCTTAACTTTTTTACAGGAGATGGCATGAATGCTTATATGGCATACAGAGTAACAACAAAGGTAACTAGTGCTACAAATATTTGCAGATAACTTTGTAGCGTAGCTGAGTAGATAGATCAGTAATTTGTAACATTTTATTATTTTTTTAAGACGTCGCTTTCCATGTTCCACAAAAATGAATTCTCTGTTAAAAGAAGATTCAGTGATTTTCTTGGCTTGCACAGCAAACTGGCAACAAAGTACATGCATATTGGTTACATTGTGCCTCCAGCTCCAGAAAAAAGTATTGTAGGTAAGTGTAGTTCCTGTAAGGGAAATGTAAGTGTGCCATTGAAGTACTGCAATGCAAATTAAGTATTTTAACACTGTAATGCAAATTAAGTGTTTTAATACCTGTTGGGTTTGTAGAATAAATACTTCTCTGCACAGCTGTTACTTACTACTTTCAGGCGGTCCAAACTATTAAATACTTTTCCTGTTCTGTGTTTTTAAAAAAGTTCGTATTGAATTGGAAAGATATGTACTGTCCTCTTCCAAACTCAGAAGGACATTTGTTGTAATACAGGGCCTTCTGTTTCTTATCTATCATTCTTTCTTCACCGGTGCCCTTCAAGAGCTGATTAATCTATCAAAGAAAGATGTTAAATGAAAGTTTATTTTTAACTTTTGCTGTTATCAGTTGCCTGGAATATACAGAGCTTCATATGTACTCTGCCTCTCTAATGCTTTAGTCTGTTTCTTTTGGTCATAGTGAACACTAAAACTTCTCAAGCGTTTTCCGAATTAGAACTTTGAAGAATTAGCTTGAGTGATGCTAGTCTTCATGAAGGCCTTGACGGATCAGATCTTTTCGTCCTGAACTAAGCAGCATGTCTAATGAATTGAAGCAAGTTCAGTTCTTTCAAAATAACTAAACATTTAAAACGGTAAACTGTTGAAGTCTTTTGACTTACACATGTAAATAAGTGATGCAATTCTAGAATGTGGTTGATATATAGGGAGTAGTAGGACATTTTTTTTTTTCAGTATTTTAGTCAGTAAAGCTAATCAGACCAGCAGCTTTTCACTTAAATAAGAGTAGGCAGAGTGAATAGATGTAGGCAGAAGAAAGCTTGGGAAAGTCATGTTTTAAGTTCTGTGGAAAAGCACGGCATTTTTCAGTCTGTAAGACTGAAAATTTGTGTAGTTCTTAAAAGTAATATATGATTTTGTAATAACCAATTTTTCATATAACAAAAATAAGTTTAATTACAAATGTTAATGGGGCTTATAAAGATGGAATGAAGCTTCTATTCATGCCTTTTGGATGATACAACATTTAGGGCACTTATGACAGTGTGCAATTACATGGAAATGTAGTACTTTTCTCACAGTCAAACTCATCTGCAAGGCAAAGCTTGACCTGAATTTCAGATATCGAACTAAACTGGCATAAATATTGATACACCTGAGAGTGCTCAAAATGGTGGGACTTAACTGCAGTGTAAGCAAGCACTGGCTGTCAGTTAAAATCCTTGTATAGAGACTTTGAGCTACAGATAAGTTGGGAAAGTTCACAGACTCTGTGTGACATTTTCTACAGAGCGTGAAACTCCTACTTTAAACTTGAACTTGCACAGGTTGTATTCAGTTCCCTGCAAAAATATGTAGTCCATGCATTTCTAGTTCTGGAGAAGATAAGTACTTCTAGGCTAATTTAAAATGAAGCATCTTAAAGTGGCACAGAACTGACAGAGCAGGAATATACTATAAGTAGAAATCAGATGTTTGAACTGTATCATAACGTACTTCTCCTGTGTTTTAGGAAATGAGAATCATTATGAATGTTCAGTGTTTCATGATGGTTTTGATAGGACTTGGATTCCTAAGCTCTCACTTTGGGTCTTTAGCATGAAAAATATTGACCTCAGTCTGACAGTTTTAGATGTCTTCTGTTATCGAGATTGAATGTATTTCCCATACCATCAGTAACTCTGGCATCCCTGTCATAGTTTTTTGACTGCTCTTGACTTGGACAGAGGAAGCAATGTAGAGCTGCTGTCCTGGTTTGAGCTAAACAGAACCAATTCTGTTCAGTGATTTTACTTCTCAGCTCAGGCTCCTCTAAGAGGATGCTCTTTCTGAAGTTCACAGCATGTTTTTGCAGACAGTGCTACTAGCAGGGATAACACCTGATGTTTACAGTTACTGCCTGAGACTGGGATGCAGAAAGGCTCTTGCTTATATATAGTGACCAGAGTCACTACAGGAGCAAATCTTTTATGCCATGTCAGGGTTGCTGAGAAGTAAGAGGGATCACAAGAAAGTAAAAAGATGACACCTCTGGTGAGGAGCAGACAGGACAGGTGACCCAAACCTGACCAACAAAGTATTCCCTACCATAAATAGGGTATTGGATATGAAGCTGAGGGATCACAGGAGTTAGGCCCTGTTTTTCAATGGCTGGCATCTGAGGAAGACTCTGTCCATCCTTCTACCTTTGATCCTGATCTGAGTTTCCAAATCCAGCTCCTGAGTCCAGCTCCTGTGTCCGATTCCCCTCTGCAGCTGAGCCTGGGACTTCCTCCAGTGCTGCCTACTCGGCAGAATCAGTGGGGATTGCTATTGGAAGAGGAGTTGGGTTCGATATTGGTTCTATATATAGTTGTATTTATTTTATTATTTCCATTATTTTCTTTGTAGTGCTATTAGTGATTCATTAAAGCTGGTTTAATTTTCTTTTCCAGTCCATAAGTCTTTCTGCCTTATTCTTGTTTCCTTTCCTGTTTTCAAGGGGAGAGGGGTTAATAGAGGGCATCTGTCATTTGTTTAGTGGCTGGGTCAGGCATAACCCTTGACAGCTGGATATGTTTTATTCTGCTGATTTTATTCTCTGTTGAGTTTGTAGTTGTTCCTATGCTTCAGAATTTTCAGAGCTGGTTAGTTTGTCTTAGCTGACTAAAAAATTCTTAGTTTTAGAACTTAAAAAAATAAATAGAATGAAAACATTGATAACTAGCTTACCAGTTAACAGGCTTATGACCTGACATTTATTTTCCTACTCTACTCTGTTTGGATATCTCTTTTATTCTGCTGAACATGAGTGACCAGTAAGACTCTAGTCTTCATTTAGATTTTGTTAATAAATGCAAATTAAACTAGTTACGTATATTACAGGAAACGGCATATTTCACGGAGCTGCTTTCACAAAACAGTGCAGCATGCACCGTTAATGTTTATTCAGTTCCTCTGGAGTTCTTTTGAAACTGTAATTTGAAATAAATAGATAAGCTTGGGTGAGCTTTATCTTTTAGTTACATCAGTTACATTAATGATTTATATATGATAAAATAAAATCAATGTGATGCTATTTTTTTTCAAAGGCATGACCAAAGTTAAAGTAGGCAAGGAAGATTCTTCATCTACTGAGTTTGTTGAGAAAAGAAGAGCAGCTCTGGAAAGGTAATGTATGTATCTAACTATGACTTGTTTAGACTCAAGATGACTTGTAGTACATTCCATGTGCTCTGGGAGCTACAGGCCTGTCAGCCTGACCTCAGTGCCTGGCAAGGTTATGGAGCAGATCATCCTGAGTGCAATCAAACAGCATGTAGGAGACAACCAGGGGATCAGGCCCAGCCTGCATGGGCATAGGAAAGGAAGGTCCTGCCTGACCAATCTCATCTCTTCCTATGACTGGATGACCCATCTAGTGGATGAGGGAAAAGCTGTGGATGTGGTTTACCTCCAGTTCAGCAAAGCCTTTGACAGTCTCCCACAACATCCTCCTGGAAAAGCTGGCAGCCCATGGCTTGGACAGTTGCACCCTTCACTGGGTTAAAAACTGGCTGGATGGCTGGGCCCAGAGTGGTGGTGAATGGTGCTGCATCCAGTTGGCATCCGGTGACCAGTGGTATTCCCCAGAGGTCAGTGATGGGCCCAGTCCTACTCAGTATCTTTATTGCTGACCTGGATGAGGGGATTGAATCTACCCTTAGTAAGTTTGCAGATGACACCCAACTGGGGGAGATTGTCGATCTGCTGGAGGGTAGGAATGCACTGCAGAGAGACTTGGACAGGCTGGGTCGATGGGCCAAGGCCAA